AACAGCTCTGTAATCATAAGGTTTGAGATTTTGCTACGGCTTTCCGGGTACGAAATCTTTTCGGGGCTTTCGAGAAACGGGCCCCAGATATCTAAACACCGTCACCCTTATGAACCTGTAAGTAGTAGCGCCTAATACCATGGTTACCTTATGTTGGGTACCCTGGTCCCAGAGGTTTTTCTTGATTTTTCTCTTCTCTTGATTTTTCTCAGCATGAGAGAGCTGCGAGAGAGCCGCGAAGCGGTGAAAACACGATTCGCGAAGCGGCGAAAAAGAAAAACCTCTTGTTACCTTGGACTTGAATCTCACTTTGATGCAGACGCCAGGATAAGTCGGGCTCGGATTGGTTGATATTTTTACAAACACGCAAATCAATATGATTGGTTCGTTTAATTGGTCATACCGAGGGGACGGTGGGGATATCTGTCACTGCACTTCTTGAGGTACATTTTGCCTATCTCTACCAGGGAAGGAATTTGTTTGAAATTACTTCAGTTCTCAGTTTATACACATTTAAGATTCGCCTGTGTTCGACATGGATTATGTTTCTGACGGTGTCTTCGAAGAAATTTTGAAACTCGGTACTCGAGGAGCGTTTTCCAGAGATCGAAGGTCTCACCGAACATCACGAAAAGAAAGCCTTTCTCGCAGTCACAAATCGCAAGGATGTCTTCGCCATACTATCAACCGGACATGGAAAGTCAATTACATTTCAGTTGCTCCCTGATGTCTGCAAATACCTGTACCTGTCAGGCTATTTATACCCTCACCATGCCACAATTTTGTTGTGTGTCCTCTGAAGTCTCTGGTAGAGTCTCATATCCGCGAACTGCGAGAACAATCTGCTCAAAGAAGCTTGTGCGTTTCTATTCGGAAGTCCCGAGTCCTTCTTACAAAACGAGTAAGTGGAGAAACATGCTCCGTAGTAATGTTTAACAAGACAAAACCTTCGCAATCGTTGCGGATGAAACCATTCTTGCAAACACGCGCGTTGACCCCGGCCAAGTAGGTCAAATGATACCACTCTTCACCACCCGAGTGGAGACATTAGCGGCTGATAAGCACGTGATTGCTAAGTTGCTATTGGTCCTTTATGTAATTATCAATTTGACGCGTTTGACAGCTGGCGTCTGCATGAAAATGAGATTCAAGTTTAAAGTAACCAGAGGTTTTTCTTTCTCGCCGCTTCGCGACTGTACAGGCCCGCAAATGATCCCCGAAATGCAAATGATCCCCAAATTGTACCGCAAATGATCCCGGGACCGGAACTGATTTCACCGCAAAAAGTTCGGAATGGCGTGGACTCCATGAAAAGTTACTGCGCAAAATTCTAAATTGACATGTGACGAATGCATGAATTCCAGTCAAATGCAGTGCATGCGTAGTAAGTAAAAAAAATTGCGATTGAATGCGGAACAGCTTTCTCGGAAATACGCCTTTTTCTCGAGAACCACTCATTAGAATTTCACGATTTTTGGCACGGAAATACCTTCGGAAATGAGTAACTGGATTACTGAAAAAAAATTGAACTTTAAGAGAGGAAATTCTAGATATTCCAGTAAACCTTCAACAATGGATAATAATAGATCTCTCTGTTAAATTATGATTAACATAGTGTTAACTAGTGAGCATCGTTACAAGTTTGTTGCATGCAAATTATAAAGAAAATCCAATGACTAGATTTTCTGCAAATAAACAAAACCGATTTTAAAGGCCTGTTTATATTTATTCATGTTGCCATGGCAACGGCATACACGTCAACTTGCTGCCACTGTTGCCGACCTAAAGATCAAGGGTTTTAGAGAAAAAGGTGAGTGAAACATAGGTATCAAAAATTGTGTTCAGTCACCTCAACCGCTTAATACTTTTCCCTTAACACTTCTTATACTTGCGTCCTAGACAGCCACGGGCTCACACGAAATTGCCTTTAAGATTCCTTCGTGCTAGTTACCGTAGTAAAAATGTAGTCAATCCACTTGGGAATTCTCAGTTGTCCGCAAATTTGAGGATATAGTGAACAACCTGAGTTATCGTACATCTCAGGCCCGGACCCAATAAAGTCATACAGGGAAGGATCCAGCTAAACTACAAATTTCAACCACAGGATTTCGTGACGTTGAATATCATTTTTAAAGTTGTGAAATTTGCATCCAATTCTTGCGTTTCATATAGTAACTGTTGTATCAAAATATTGTATTATTACTGTGAAACTCAGAAAACCGTGAATACCAGAAATATTTAAGGATTTTTATTGTGTAGCAAGGAAAAAGCCAATTAAGCGTGAGAAAACTAAAACGCAAACACCACCGATAATAGGCCACGTTCGATATACCAATATTCTAACATGGGTCCGAGGCTTTCAGGAAAAGCTTCTATGTTTGGTGGTCAGTGTTTTCTTTGTATCCAAGTCTCTTTTTGGAATTGAAAGACAAAGGAAACTTAAAGTATTTGCAATTTTGACCCGAAAGCCTCGGATCGATGTTAGAATATTGATATATCGAACATGGCCTATCGGTTGTGGTTTTGAGGTTTTCTCTCGTGTCCTGAACTTAATTGTGATCGATTCCAATACCAAATTAACCCTTTGGAATCAAATCCAAATGTTCACGGTTTTCTGAGTTTCACAGTAATAAAAAAAAGCGATTGCATAAATTTTAAATCCACTGTCCAAATTCCTGAGTCCTCACATTTCCAAATTTTATGACGAGGCGACCATTTCCGGTCCGGGATCATTTATGGTACAATATGGGGATCATTTCCGGTCCCGGGATCATTTGCGGTACAATTTGGGGATCATTTGTGGTACGGGGATCACTTGCGGGCAGGGATCATTTGCGGGCCTGTACACGACTCGTTTTCGCCGCTTCGGGAAAAGAAGAAAAATCAAGAAAAACCTCTGGGACCAGGGTATGTGTAGGGTGTTTTGCTGACCAAACAATAATGATTAGTGCGAAATAAGGTAGCTTCAAAAGTTTTATTTTTGTTAAAACAGTTGACNCACAACGTCGACAATTTATTAAATTTGTAAATATGTACGAAGTTTTCCCCTGCTGGCCGGCGCGTCTTCAGACGGATCACCTTCGGGTGGGACAGGGTCAGCAGGGGTACAAAAATATTTGTAAATTTTTAATCTTAAAAAGTTTTTGAAAAATTTTTAAATATATACGTAGTTTTCCCCTGCTGGCCGGCGCGTCTTCGGACGGATCACCTTCGGGTGGGACAGGGCCAGTAGGGGTAAAAAAATATTGTAAATTTTTAGTATCATAAAATTAAATTGAGTTTAATTGAAAATTGCTTCTCCGTCTCTTTTTTTCCTACTTACCCCAGAATGCGCCTCAAGGACTCTTTCCAGGTCCTCCATTGTGACGTAGGGCCTTTTGAAGACGTCAGATCCTTCTCGGGTCGTGACCTCACGGGGGTGTGTCCAAAATGACCGTTTTGGTCATGTGGGCGATATCCGGCTTTCTTATTGATTCATTCAAAAAATACTGTGCTCTGATTGGCTTCTCTGCATACCGACTACGTATACTACTTATTCCTGTTTTTTAAAATTATTTTCAGTATTCTGTTCCTTGTCATAATCCCCTACACCGCAAATACTGAGGAACGAAACGGAAGCCAGCGTAAGGGCGAACAAGTCTAAACCAAAAGATGAATTTAAGAGCTGACGTCAATCATCTTCGTCTCTAGTTTTTGAGCTACTTCCTTTACCACTATCTGAGCGTAGATCCTGTGTTCGCAATTTTTGGGTTAGGTTTTCCCTCGAACTGTCGGACAGCGAACGTTCGCTATACTTTCGAGTTTGGTGGAGAGTGAGAATTCCCGAGTACTTCTCGTTTTTATTGTTGCCTTTATGCCTGACACCACTTAGGATAATTTAAAAAATTAATATATACATCCGCAGACGTTTCATGGAATCCAAGCCATTCCTACTTTCTTTTTGCGGTACATTTGCGGGAATCATTTCCAGCACTGGGATCATTTGCGGTCCATTTTGGAGATCATTTGCGGGCCTGTACAAATCTCACTGACTGAACTTTTACAATGCCGGTTCATAAAGGTTGACGGGGAAAGCGTGCAAGACTTCCATGCCAAATGGACAGCGAGATCTTTGAGTCCTCAGCTTCTCCCGCTATCGTTCCTCCCCCTCAAAAGGTCAAGAGTCTAAACAGAGTAGAACGCTCGGTCGTGGCCGCCCGCGTGTGAATTCATCACTTCACGGTTTACCACGCAAAATGAAAATGAGCAGCTGGTAATTGTATTCACTGTTCGTAGAGTTCAACCCCTTTATGGGCTCAAGCCCTACATAGAGCGGAAAGGCAAAGCACAGGGATACCATGATCACCGTCCCAAGTGCAGTTTAAAAAAGAAAACACTCGGATATGAGCAAACTATTCTTTCTTTTTCAGAGTCCTTTTCAAGCACTATATTACATTTCTGTAAATATGTATAACAAGTAAATAAACTTTATGACGTGATTTGTGAAAAAAGGTGAGTTTCTAGCGATCTTTTTTACCGTCAAACACACCCCTACAGTAGGGGGTGTGTTTTGGGGCCCTACTATTGACAACCTTCAAGACATCGTTTTGTTAGTTTTCCTATGTTCTCAGCCAATCAAACAACAGATGACCTCAAGCGCACCTAGCTGCACGTGGCCGCATTGATTATCCCGCCTCTTCGCAACTTGATCTCGTCCCCAGTTGTCCCCAGGTGCTTAGCAAAGGACCGCGGCCTCTGCTCTGGGAACGAGACTGGCCTTCATGAAAAAAACACTCAGGTTGGCCATAGTTAATAGAGAGGAATGGTTATGAAGATCGGCAAACATCAAAGGAGCAAACAAAGATTTCAAGACTCATGTTGGAAGGTCCGCGACCGTGCACAATCTTTTGTTTTGCGCTCATACATTATGCATGAATTACGTAACCGAAACGTTTCTATTGGTTCGTTCCCCAGTCAGTAGTAAACAACAATTGTGTTTTGTGCACGGTCAAAGCCAAAAAACTGAACAAAAACATGCAACAAAGAACTTTGTTGAGTTCCATAACCATTCCCCTCTATTAACTATGGGTTGGCCGAGCGATGAAAACCGAAATAAAGGTGCCACAAAGGTGTCAATCGATCGACTTTTGCTTTGCTACAGCGGCGGTGGGGAAGGGGGGGACTCTCATCTAAGGGGCGGGTGTGATGACGGCTTAGGTTTGACTGCCAGCTAAAACCTGGCTATAACTATAACTATAACTTTAACTTTTAGAACTTTTCTTCTATCCCACCTTCCCAGCCCCGTCAGTTTGTATGGAAGTCCCGGACGAGTGTTTCATTCCGCAGCTGAGTGGGTTATAATTGGGCACATATAGATTTTTGTGTGTGTTATGCTGATAGACTTCTATCATTTTTCCAAAAAATATATGATTTTGATTCGCGAAATTTGTTATCATTAAGCGAACACAAACTGTTTTTGATGGGCGAAACCCTTTTTTCCACTCGCTACAAAGTTTGCTTCTTGAAGTTTTTCTAGTAATTGTTCAACTCCTTCTTCTTTTGTTTCGTCTTCCTCGTCATTCTGTTGTGTTGATCTAAGCGAGCCCAGCCGTTGAAGTCGAACAGTTCCTTTCACGCCACGTCCCTTTAGAGCCATTTTCCCCACGTGTAACTTTCGTCTTGCAAAGAGATCACTGTCACTAACAAAAGATGGCACGAACTCGGACTGAACTCGGACTTCACCAAAGTCCAGCAAGGAGTCAGTTTTGTGCAGTCTTTCCATTAACGACGAGTATATCGAGTCTTTCTTGGGCACCTGTTTTCGCGGGGTAATGACTAGCTCTACTGGCGCTGAATCTGTCGCTTTGATTAATGTTGAATCGGCCTCTGGAAATTCCTGCAATATTATAGACCCACACATGATCAAAAATTGATTAATCTACATGTACCACCACTGTTAAAATGAAAATAGAGTATATCAAAGCACAAACTGGAAAAGTATTCTAAAACACAATACAGCACGAAATACCATTTTACTTTTCTTATACATGTATCAGTGAAGAAAATTAGGGATTTAAATACCTTAACCTTGAGCTGCCTTGAACCTAAAAGAAATATTTATTTGATTATAGCCTTTACAAATACTAAAACATGATAAACTGTAATATTTTAGACGCAAACTGATTAGCGTGTTCCAAGCGTTCATTTAGCTTAGTGTTAAAGGAGCTTCTTTGCATATCTTGAAAAGTTAAGCCTCTTGTGAATTTTTGAATTTCGTCATTTGTTATCCGTGTTAATCTTCTCCATCCTTAGCCATCCTTGTTCCTTTATGGTTTATTATTATCTCTTTGGTGTTTTTCTATCTTAATAAACTACTGTTTTCAGGTTTCCTTCAATTTAAAGGTAATTTTGTTTGCGGCCAAAATAACTCAAAGCCACGTGACTGGGCTCCATTAATTGTGGGAGGCGGGGGAGAGCGGGAAAAACGACAGGAAAAGAAATAGAGGGTCTTGATGCACTTTCCCCCTATTTTTAAAAACTTCAAAACCGAGGGGTTATACCGATCTCTGGGGCCTTACATGTACATAACAATGAGTCTGGTATTTCTGTGTCGATTCTAACACTGCTTTTAATAGACTGCGCCCGCTGTCGGATTTTAGGTCTAAAACTAAACGTCATCAATTTTTTCCAGGCTTTTGTTTAATCTTCTACTGCCGCGATTTGTTCAAGATAACTGCACCCTTCACAAGATTTTGCTCACCTTCATTTTCTGGGTTTTCAACAGGATCTTGAAAACATTTCAGCTTTTTGTAGTAACTGGCGTACTTTTCCTTCATATGTTTATCAGTTCTTTGTTTCAATCTTTGAGACTGCAAGAAATATTACATGACTGGTCATCACTTGAGTTATCGCACAACCAACATTGTCAAATGACCAAAAACAAACATTAACTTAAAAATAAAATAATATGAAGTCACTAACCTGTGTTTCAATATCCCATTGTAAGTTTTGTGACATCACATGTGAATTGTGTAGGTCCTAAAATTAAATGCAATAACACACACTGTCAGGCAAATTAAACTGTGGGATTAGAGAACAAAATAAACTTTACATGTATGAAATACCAGCTGCCAATTTAACGCCCCCTTATCACACAAGGTCAAGGATTATTTCAATACCCGCGATGAAACAAGAATTCTTTGATGACCAAGTTTTGAAGTTCTCGATAATTTTGCTGATGTGGTTCCATCAAATTCTCTGTAGAACTTAGAAGATCCTGCTGATGAGCCACTTAATCTAGCTTGTTCAAATTCCGTGCAATGTTCCTCTTGTTGTAATGCCTCTTCATCTGTAAATGATATAAGCAATGATAAATTAATAACAAACAACTTAATTAACTTGATAGTGAAACAAATTACTGGGTAAGCATTGTTTTCTTTCAATGATTATTTTCCTCCTTCTTTCTATTCCAAAACTACATATTAAAGGAGCTACGTCACGATTTGCGCATCTTGAAAAGTTTAGCCTAAATTTTTCAAGTTCGTTGTTTGTATTCCGAGTCAATCTTCTCCATCCTTAACCATCCTTGTTCCTTTATGGTTATCTCTTTGGTGTTTCTCTTTTTCTATCTTAGTAAACTGCTATTTTCAGGTTTCCTTCAATTTAAAGGTAATTTTGTACGTGGCCAAAATCACTCGAAATGCCGTGACTGTCAGCTCCTTAACGTCTATGAGCAGTAGTATGCACGAACGAACGAATGAACGAACGAACGAACAAACGAACGAACGAACGAACGAACGAAAACTTTATTAACGTGTGGGACTCCTAACTTCAATAGCTAATGACTAGTTTACAAAAATTAATAATTAAATATTGAAGATGAAAATACTTACTTACAGCAGAAGATATAAGGCTATAATGTAATATAAAATGATGCTGTTCACAATTTACATAGTTTGCAGCAACTACTATTGTTGTCAATGAGGTCTGAAAGGTCAATTTTTCTTATTCTCATCTTAAATGTCACGAGGGTTGGTGACGTCCTTGCTAAGTTTTGACCAGATATATGGACCCTGGTATCTTATCGTGTGTTTTCCGCAAGATGTAGTATATAAGATGTACAAATAGTTCTCTATTGCTTTTCCATTTTACTGTGCAAAACAAACTGATTTTTGGACGGGCTGATGAAAATTCCATGTACACCATATCGATGAATATCAATGCACCAAGTTTACAATTTTTAAATAAAATCTTTTCAATATTTTCATTCCTTTTTTTAGTTGCAACGATGATATGGTCGTACATCAACGCAATATTCAAAATATCAAATCCTTACTCTTGACAGTTTCCTCCTGTTGTTGTTGAGGGCCCTAAAATTGAAAGAAAATTTGAATATTATAATCATAATTCTATAACTTCCAGCATGTCAGCCTAACACTGGAGTCCAGCAATGGTAAAAAGAAAGATCAGAAATTACAATTTTGTTTTTGAATAAACTTGGTACTTACAAACTGGACTGGCTGCTTTGTTGGTGGCTTTAGTTTTCTACTGACATCATTCAAGTCAACAAAAGCTGTTCTGTTAGAGGCTCCTGTATAGCCACATCTGGCATGCATCACCTGCAGTAGACATAATAGGCAAGCAATGCATGCAGAAGACTATGTAACTTAGCTCTTTGTTTGCAAAATTTCTCATAAAAGAAATTTTGCTTTTAAAATTTAAAGAAACATTCCTTTTAAGTTCCTTGTGACAAAATGCAAGTGATCATAGACTCAGGACACTGATTTTCAACAAAGGAATAGCAACTTAAATATTCAGCAAATTATTTTTACCTTTTACCAGATGTGTTAGTTAAGTTTATAAATTTACCTTTTTATTAGAATGACCCAAATGATCACAAAGTTCCAAAGACCTCTGTTGCTGTCTGCTCACCTAATCAAAAACAAATGTATCTTTTACATATTTTTAAATCCTTAAATTATTTCAACCCAGCTTTAAATATCAAAGCAACAAACACATTTGAAGTACGAAGTCTGTATATGAATTAATCCTCGTATGTGACCAATGTAGACCATCCAAATCAAAGCTAAATATTGGGCAGTGATGTTGTGCTGTATGTTTTTCAAAGTTATATGAAAGTAAGAGAAAGCTTAAAAGCACAAAACTCATAATTCCTGTCAGCAGCTGTAGGTGAAGAAAATTTAATTTCTTACTAGTTCTATCCTTGGGTTACTATCAACAAAGAAATCCTGGTGCAGTAGACGCCATGACGGAAGATCCCTCTGATGGCTTGAGCTTGCTCTCAGAGACCCTTGCTAAAAAAAAAAAAGATAAAACACATGTACCATTTAGATGTATATTAACAAAATCTACATTTCCTGTCTTATTATAATTTTAAAAGACACTAATATAAGGCAAAAACTGGTTCCGCTCTCCCCCAGCCTTCCACATTATTACCACTCTTCAGATTTAAATACCATTACTCAAGAATGGAAAGAAAGAAAGTATTGTAAGTATTGTAAGTTTTGTAAGTTTTGTTAGTATCGTTAAATTGTAAGTTACGTTGACATTGTAAGTAGTAGTTAATTTTTGTATGTAATGTAATGTAATGTAATGTAAGATATTGCAAGAATAAAAAAAATAAAAAAAAGGAAAAAAAAAACATTACTCAAGAAGTTTTTTGAAGATTTTCACTTTTGCCTTTGAGTGCTCAATAACCAATGACTACTCACTGGTCACTACAAATCTTAACAATGATGTTTCAGGAGTAATTCAAAGTATTATCAGAAATTTTATCATAATCAATTTATTGCTTGGAATTTGGTATTTGACAAGATCCATGACTCTACTACCTGACGTGAAATTGTTTGAAGAACAAGGGACACTACGAGTCTGTTTTCAGGAATGCTTTGGATCAAGGAACAGCTAGTGCATCAACAGCCATCTACTTATACAAATCTTTATTTTTCTGTGGACTCTATATAATGTCTGTGAACAGGTTATAAAGACTGTTCAATCCATGTAATACATTCTCACCTCATATAAGGTGTCCAAATGACGAATCTTTTTCTCATCCTCTGTACAAAGGACTGCTTGAAAATCACAAAGCTTCATGGACAGAAAACAAACACTAGTTTTAATAAATAATTTAACATAATTTACCACATTTAATTTAATAAAAAAAAAAACAATAAATGCGCAATTATAGATGTTAACTAATCAGACCTTGTAGAGATTATTTTTATCCACACCAGTGACCTTTGGAAGAGGTTGCACATGCACATCTGTATCCCGCTCACACCTGCAAAATAATAATAAGGTTGAAGACTTCAATATTCCAAAGGATCAAGGCAGTCAGGTGGTTATCAGTGTTGGTGCAATACTCCGGCTTCTGTAGCGTGAAGCTGCTAGAAGTATTGCTACTTCCTCCCTAGATACAATGCTAGTTTATCATGGTCAGTTATCTTCCCCNCCCCCCCCAACTCCACCACACCCACATAGCTTTTATTTTGGCTGGCTGTCCCAACAGCTGCTCAGTGGCTATTTACACTACTGGGTGAAAACAGGGACTGTTCTACCACACAGCACTGTCAACAATCCTAGCCAGGACTTCAGTCTAACCCTCTGAATTCAAACTAAGGTGCAGTGTATTAACCACTAGGCTGCATGAAGCCTCCGCTATCCATTGTTAAGTGATAGTAAATTATAACAACCAGTAATATGAAGTCAGTGATCAGTATGTGATCTGTCTTGAAAATGTCAAATACAAAGTAATCAGGAGAATCAAATGACTGATCAGTTGATAAAAAATCAAACCTCCCAATATGAAGTATAAAAAACTATGGAGATTAGCTAGCTGCCATCAGTAGCATAGTATTACAAAATTGAAATTAAAAAAATATTTCTTGATTAGGTATGTAAATGTTCAAGAACTTACAAAAGCAAGAGATCTAAGAATTCATAAAGCATCAGACGATCAGGTACTTGTCTTCTCATGTGTTTGATCTACAAAACGAAATCATCATCAAATAAAACCTTTTTGATAAATATATTGGTGCATTGTAATCATGCCATATGTGCACAAACTATCCTCCAAGCAATGAAACATTATGTTACCCCTACAAGCTTTTATATAGAGTGTATATGTGACAGTAATAATTTTTGTTTTAAAACTGTTTGGATTGTAATCAAATTTTCATTTTGTTATCTGGACTTACATGTTGCTTGAGCTTCACTGGGGAAACAGCTCTTCCACAGATCTGTAAATAATAATTATTTGATTATGTTGATTACATGTAACTTTCTGTTTTGCTGAGTTTATATGTTAACTACGTAGATAATTTAGGAATCTAACGTCAGTACCAATGCTAGAAGAAGATAATTTGCCCTCTCTGAATTTCCACCCTTTTCATGTTATAACATTTTGGAAATTACACATCCTAATAATATTCAGAGGCTGTATCATTTATCGTCATCATTATTATGAGCCTCTATATTGCTGTTTCAACACCCTATTGCAAGTCGGAATTTTGCTCCAACAATTGACCTCACATATAGGTAATTGGGCACATCACATATGGGTAATCACATCGGGCTGCTGCTTTAATCTCCAATTTCAGTGTTTTGTTGTTAATCAACTTTGGACTCAAACTACATGTATAACTTCAATAGCCTGCAAACACAGATGTCACATGTATTTCCAGCAACTCACTTGTTTCAGCCAGCATGTGAAACAAAACCTCCAATAAACCAGATGCTCTCGCCCCCAGGGACGACTCCCATAAAAAAGGACAGGGGTGCTTGTCGGAAATTTTGAAAAGAACCCCTAAGAGGTACCAAGATGCTATTTTGTGGGCGTGGCTTGAAATGTTTTTCACCCCTGAGGTACCAAAATCCTGCTTCAAGGGTGTGGCTTGAAACTTTTTTATCCCTTAAAGGTACCAATAATTTATTCTAAAACAACACATTATCTCCTGTCACATTTTTTTGGGCTCAACACCCTAAAGAGTACTGCAAAAGCCCCCAATGTGGGACTTTTGAGGCTCAACATCCTAAGAGGTAACAAAAAAAAAAAAANCCCCCCCCCCTCCCCCGGGGCTCTCGCAGGCTAAAACTGCAAGAACTCACCTTTAATGTTCTGAGTAAAACATGTTCATCAATTGCCAAACCCAACATGTCTTCATGCTCATACAACTGAAAAGCCACACGAACTTCTCTCAGTTCCTGAAAACTGAATGAAAAGCTTCAAACATGAAAACACAGTTAACATATTTCAATGTAATTTTCATAAGGAAATTGTACCTCAAGTATCTGTTGGAGAGCATTTCCAAAGATTTCTCGATGACTCGTGAGTTGTACAGCGCATCGTGCATGTTGTATGTTCGATGGATGTCGCCATGTAGACACTTGATATCCAACATGTTTAAAAGGGACTATGTACAAACAAACCAGAAATGAGTAAACTAGAAACAAACATTGTGGAACACATACAAGCCAGAGAGTTTGCCACATCCTCCACAGTACGTGTTTTTTGATTGAACCAGCCACTCGCACCTTTATCCCCGTTTAGCTTCGAAGATGACTTTTTAAAAATGCTTTTATTGGCTCCCGGGGGCTCTCGACCCGCAGAGATTTTGGAATGTGTATTAATTAATATTTTCTGTAACTATACAGGTTCTGAGAGCTGTTTATGTACACCCACCTTGTTTAGTACACATCTCTGATTTTATGTCGTATGTTATTTTTTCAGACTTACAAGTCCTTAAAAATCCTCACAGGACACTAAACATTACTGGAAAATGTTTAAATGTCTCCCTTTACGTTCATGAACATACCTTAATACTCAGCCCGTTTGCTTTCTCCTTCTCAAATTCCTGGGGAACATTTTTTCGAAAAAGATCCTTGCGAAACTAAATAGAAGAAGAGACCAGAAATCAGGCCACTCGCAATGAGTTTATTTTCGTTCGCAAACTGGGGCACAATACATCGTTAACCGAAGAAAACATTTGAGATCTTATCATGTTCGAATGAGACATGTCTAAGCATTGATCTACACCAAAATTTATCCAAAATAATTCAGAAGGTGGAAATTGTTAACATTACGACGGCCTTATGAACAAAGACAACGACAAAGACAACACAAGAACACCCTCTGTCATTTGTCTCACTGCATGTTAACTGGAGTAATTATAGGTTGTAAAATGTGTTCATAAGTGAAGCACTTACCCCCAAAGCTTTGGCAAGGCAGCTTTCCGTTTTTCGAGACAAAAATACAAAAATTGAAGTTAGTCTTAAGTAAGCTTAATTAACGAGATCGAAGGCAGCTAAATTTACCTCATTATAGAAGCTCATAGAGAGAACACACATTCGAGAACTGACAGAATTACGCAATTCGATCGGCAAAACAGCAGCAAACAAGCAGAGAAGCACCGAAGCAAAACACCCAAACTTACCGTAGTTCTTCCCAAGTGTAAACGTCTCTTTTTCTCGGATACTTTAAGTGCATTTTAACGAGAAAATTAACTTAACCGGGCTGCGAAAAGAACAACATATCACGGCTTAGAGTCAAAATGGCGCCCATAAACTCCATGACAACAATGTCTCTGGGGACCAATGAACCTGTCAAGTCTGTCAATCATGTCTCACAATTGAAAATCTTGGATCGGAGCGGACCTGACTGAAAGGAGAGTGGATTTTTCAAAATTCAAGTTTATTGTTGTCAGAAAATTTGATTTTTATTAGGCTGTATTTGCTTCCCTCAGGACAGGCTGAATTTCAATTGCTTCTTTTTTCTCTAGGTTGACCGTAATTTACCAGTAACTATTGAAGAGTATCGTATACTTCACTGCTGACGTTTTCAGGGTTGTTTCACACTTCTTTCACTCGTATTGCTCTACGAGTAGAGCCTCCTTTACTCAACTCTTTGGATGGCGCAGATTAAAAAGTGAAAAAAAAAAGGGAAAAGAAGGTTCTGGTCGCAGGGCACCGGCGAGGAAATGTTGGAAATCCAGTAGATAGTCTGAATAAAAGAGAAACCAGAAACTGCAAGGGAACGGATACGATAAACGCTGCCAACGTAGGCTGGCGTTACATATCTTCGCTACACAGTGCTGACGAGCCCCAAGAAGGGCGAAACAGCTGTCCACTGTTGCGATCCTACTTTATCGGTTCTTGACATATTGGTGTCTCGAAACGTTTTTCACGTAGTATCAGCCTTGCAGTCTACTCTTTGAATAAAAGACGTTGTTGCTTATCGTATCACCGTGGGGTTAGGTTTAGGGAGGGCCTGGAGGAAGGTGAGGGGAGGTGGCTGTTGGGACAGGTGTGTAGCTGGACAGAGCACGCAGCATAAAATACTAAATCCCAACTCGTTTTAAATTACATTATCCGAGCTAATTGCTAAAGGTCTGCATAAAGAAATTCACTTTCACGCCCATTTTTTCTTCCTTGAAATAGGGCCAACTGACATAAAGAAGTTGGAAACAGAGAGTAACGGGCAATGAAACAGTTTCAAACTCCACAGTGCAATAAATAATAATGGACTCCATTCTCTCTTTTAATATAATTTAATTTATAACATTTACATATTTAATTTACATGTTGCGTTGTTACGCTCTCTGCGAAATAATATGCATAAACTGAAACAGCAATGTAATAGAAATTAATAAATTATGATCAGTCGAGAGATTCCAGTCAAAGTTTTCTTCAGCCAAGCGGTCAAACATCAATTCTGTCTGATTTCTTAGCCTGAAAATTCAATAAAATGTATATTGGTTGAATATTGATTTCACCAAAAGGTTCAGTATTATGTTGCTTTAGGTACCCCTCGGTACCAACATGGCGTCCCCATTGAAAGCTTTAAAAATTGGGGTGAACTTGACGCGCGGATAACGCGCGTATGAAAAACTGTACAAAGCTAAATCTTGGTGACGCTGTTTACTCTCATAATCTTTAATTAATATCCCAGATTCTTAGTGAATCCAGGAGTAAGGAAAGAGGTGGAAAGTGTATACGTGTGGCAGGAAATTAAAAAGAGTGGGAGGAAACGCTATTGCCAAAACGTGACGGAGAACGAGATTTACAACATGGCGTCAATATCTTTCAATGGAAAAGACACAAGAAAGAATTACAGTCAAACCTCTCCAAAACTGCAATGGCCACCTTGGGGACAGAGAAAAGTAGGGGTTGTAGAGAGGTGGCGGTTTTAGGAAGGTGGCCGTTAGTGGAGGTTCGACTATATCATATTTTCTACTTACAAAAGTTGCACGAAAATCTGCATGACTTCTCCATCCTGGCGACTTGTTTTTCACACGCATCAAGCATGACAATATCATAAAAGCATGAATACTTATCGGCTTCGTCTACGCAAGGTCTGACATTCTCTGAAGAAACTGCAAAAATAGTGAAAAACATTGCTGGATAAATTATTTATTAAATTTAGGAAAAACACTCAGGACTAGCTAGTTTCTGGGGACATGCGTAAAAAGGTAACGGACTGAAGGTCTTGAAGGCTTTACGGTCATTTCGTCCCAACCAAAAGTCATTTCGCCCCATAATCGAAGTCACTTCGCCCCATACAAAAGTCACTTCGCCCCATACAGAAGTCACTTCGCTCCATGTAAGAAACTAGTGAAATTTGTCGTGAACTTTTCGTTTTGATGTTGGAGTTGGAATGATTTTGAACTTGAGACTTATGTCAGTTCAGATTATTAACTACTGCAGCTTCCAGTCACGTTCGTTTAAATACGCTTGGTAACACTAAATATCATTTCGTTGGATTACTTTCTTCATCACGAATTCTTACACGTTGTAATCCCTCAAAATACACTAAACATCACTTCGTTCGATTACTTTCCTCAACACGAATTCTTATCCGTTGTAATCCCTCAAACCCCGTTAATG